AAAAAAGATTTGAAAAAAGATTCGAGGAAATGGTAACAAGAATGGATAACTTAGAGAGGAATATGAATAAATTAAAGGAGCTGAAAAACACAATACGAGAACTTCGTGAAGCATGCACAAGTTTCAATAGCCGAATTGACCAAGCAGAAGAAAGAATATCTGAAGTCGAAGACCAACTCAATGAAATAAAACGAGAAACCAAGATTAGAGAAAAAAGCGCAAAAAGGAATGAACAAAGTCTCCAAGAAATGTGGGACTATGTGAAAAGACCTAACCTACGTTTGATAGGTGTACCAGAATGGGACGAAGAGAATGAATCCAAGCTGGAAAATACTCTTCAGGACATCATCCAGGAAAATTTCCCCCACCTAGCAAGACAGGCCAACACTCAATTGCAGGAAATACAGAGAACACCACAAAGATATTCCGCAAGAAGAGCAACCCCAAGGCACATAATCGTCAGATTCAATAGGGTTGAAATAAAGGAGAGAATACTAAGGGCAGCCAGAGAGAAAGGTCAGGTCACCCACAAAGGGAAGCCCATCAGACTCACAGCAGATCTCTCGGCAGAAACACTACAAGCCAGAAGAGAGTGGGGGCCAATATTCAACATTCTTAAAGAAAAGAACTTTCAACCCAGAATTTCATATCCAGCCAAACTGAGCTTCAGAAGTGAAGGAAAAATAAAATCCTTTGCGAACAAGCAAGTACTCAAAGATTTTGTCACCACCAGGCCTGCTTTACAAGAGCTCCTAAAAGAGGCACTACACATAGAAAGGATCAACCAGTACCAGCCATTCCAAAATCACACTGAATGCTAAAGAGCATCAATATAATGAAGAATCTACAACAACTAACAGGCAAAACAGCCACTTAGAATCAAAATGGCAGTATCAAATTCACACATAACAATATTAACCCTAAATGTAAATGGACTAAATGCACCAATCAAAAGACACAGACTGGCAAATTGGATAAAAATCCAAAACCCATCACTGTGCTGTATACAGGAAACCCATCTCACATGCAAGGATACACAAAGGCTCAAAATAAAGGGATGGAGGACGATTTACCAAACAAATGGAAAGCAAAAAAAAGCAGGAGTTGCAATTCTCATCTCTGATAAAATAGACTTTAAAGCAACAAAGATCAAAAGAGACAAAGAAGGCCATTACATAATGGTAAAAGGATTGATACAACAAGAAGAGCTAACGATCCTAAACATATATGGACCCAATGCAGGAGCACCCAGATACATAAGGCAAGTTCTTAATGACTTACAAAAGGACTTAGACTCCCACACAATAATAGTGGGAGACTTTAACACTCCACTGTCAATACTAGACAGATCAACCAGACAGAAAATCAACAAGGATATCCAGGGCTTGAACTCAGACCTGGAGCAAGCAAACCTGATAGACATTTACAGAACTCTCCACCCCAAATCCACAGAATACACATTCTTCTCAGCACCACATCACACCTACTCTAAAATTGACCACATAATTGGAAGTAAAGCACTGCTCAACAAATGCAAAACAACTGAAATCATAACAAACAGCCTCTCAGACCATAGTGCAATCAAGTTAAAACTCAGAATTCAGAAACCAACCCAGAACCGCACAGCTTCATGGAAACTGAATAACTGGCTCTTGAATGTTGACTGGGTAAACAATGAAATGAAGGCAGAAATAAAGAAGTTCTTCGAAACCAATGAGAACGAAGACACAACGTGCCAGAACCTCTGGGACACATTTAAAGCAGTCTCTAGAGGAAAGTATATAGCAATAAGTGCCTATATGAGGAGAATGGAGAGATCCAAAATTGACACCCTATCGTCAAAATTGAAAGAGCTAGAGGAGCAAGATCAAAAAAACTCAAAACCCAGCAGAAGACAAGAAATAACAAAGATCAGAGCTGAGCTGAAGGAGATTGAGACACGAAAAACCCTTCAAAAAATCAATAAATCCAAGAGCTGGTTTTTTGAAAAGATCAACAAAATAGACAGACCACTAGCCAGATTGATTAAAAAGAAAAGAGAGAACAACCAAATAGATGCAATAAAAAATGATAAAGGGGAAATCACCACAGATTCCACAGAAATTCAAACCATCATCAGAGAATATTACAAACAACTCTATGCGCATAAACTAGTAAACCTGGAAGAAATGGATAAATTCCTGGGCTCCTGTGTCCTCCAAAGCCTAAACCAGGAGGAAGCTGAAACTATGAATAGACCAATAACAAGGTCTGAGGTTGAGGCAGCAATTAAGAGCCTACCACACAAAAAAAGCCCAGGTCCAGACGGGTTCACAGCCGAATTCTACCAGACACACAAGGAGGAGCTGGTACCATTCCTTCTAAAACTATTTCAAACAATCCAAAAAGAGGGAATCCTTCCCAAATCATTTTATGAGACCAACATCATTCTGATACCAAAACCCGGCAGAGACCCAACAAGAAAAGAAAACTTCAGGCCAATATCCATGATGAACATAGATGCAAAAATCTTCAATAAAATATTGGCAAGCCGATTGCAACAGCAAATCAAAAAACTTATTCATCATGATCAAGTAGGATTCATCCTGGGGATGCAAGGCTGGTTCAACATACGCAAGTCTATCAACGTAATTCACCACATAAACAGAACCAAAAACAAAAACCACATGATTATCTCAATTGACGCAGAGAAGGCATTTGACAAAATTCAACAGCCCTTTATGCTAAAAACCCTCAATAAACTCGGTATCGATGGAATGTATCTCAAAGTAATAAAAGCTATTTATGACAAACCAACAGCCAATATCATACTGAATGGGCAAAAACTGGAAGCATTCCCTTTAAAATCTGGCACTAGACAAGGATGCCCTCTATCACCACTCCTATTCAATATAGTACTGGAAGTTCTAGCCAGAGCAATCAGGCAAGAAAAAGAAATAAAGGGTATTCAAATAGGAAAGGTGGAAGCAAAATTGTCTCTATTTGCAGACGACATGATAGTATACCTAGAAGACCCCATCGCCTCAGTCCAAAAACTCCTGAAACTGATAAGCAACTTCAGCAAAGTCTCAGGATATAAAATCAATGTGCAAAAATCACAAGCATTCGTCTACACCAGTAACAGACTTAAAGAAAGCCAAATCAAGAACGAACTGCCATTCGCAATTGCTACAAAAAGAATAAAATACCTTGGAATACAACTCACAAGGAACGTAAGGGACCTCTTCAAGGAGAACTACAAACCACTGCTCAATGAAATCAGAGAGGACACAAACAGATGGAGAAACATTCCATGTTCATGGTTAGAAAGAATTAATATCGTGAAAATGGCTATACTGCCCAAAGTAATTTACAGAATCAACGCTATCCCCATCAAGCTACCATTGACTTTCTTCACAGAACTGGAAAAAAACCACCATGAACTTCATATGGAACCAAAAGAGAGCCCACAAGAACAGAAAATGAAACACCGCATATTCTCACTCATAGGTGGGTGATGAAAAATGAGAACACATGGACACAGAAAGGGGAGTACTAAACATTGGGGTCTATTGGGGGGAAAAGGGGAGGGCCAGTGAGAGGGGGAGGTGGGGAGGGATAGCCTGGGGAGAAATGCCAAATGTGGGTGAAGGGGAGAAGAAAAGCAAAGCACACTGCCATGTGTGTACCTACGCAACTGTCTTGCATGCTCTGCTCATGTACCCCAAAACATAAAATCCAATAAAAAATTAAAAAAAAAAAAAATAGAAACCATAAAATGTATGTTCATGGATCATAAAGGAATTAAATAAACAAACAAAAAAAATAGCAAAAAGATACCTGGAAAACCTCTAACTGTTTGGAAATTAAGCAACACATTTCGAATGAAACCATAGGTTACAAAGGGTTCAATGGAAATTTAAAACATTTTAAACTAAGAAAAAAAACACAGCATATCAAAATTTATGAGATGCATCTAAAGTATTGCTTAGAGATAAATGATGAGCATTAAATGCTTTTATTAGAAAAGGTCTAAATGAGTAATTTAAGCTTCTACATTAAGAAACCAGAAAAAAACACAAATCAAGAAGATGGAAAGAATGTGGAGTAGAGCAAAAATCAAAGTGAGTAAAAAACAAATGCAATACAGAAAAATCGATTAATACAAAATCTGTTCCAAAGTGAAGCAATGTCAGTAAAAATTAAAAAAGGGAATTAATAAGGAAGAAGCAGGAGTGGTAAACCCAAAGAGCAAAACATGTAGAAAAATGTAATGATGATGCCACCCAACAGTGGTGTGTCCTTTTTTTGTTTCTGAGATGGAGTTTTGCTCTTGTTGCCCAGGCCTGAGTGCAAGACCCGATCTCAACTCACCGCAACCTCTACCTCCGGGTTCAATAGATTCTCTCTCCTCAGCCTCCTGAGTAGCTGGGATTACAGGGATGCGTCATCACACCCAGCTGATTTTGTATTTTTAGTAGAGATGGTGTTTCTCCATGTTGGTCAGGCTGGTCTCAAACTCCTGACCTCAGGTGATCTGCCTGCCTTGGCCCCCAAAGTGCTGAGATTACAGGATGAGCCACCATGCCCAGCCCAATGATGTGTTCTGAATCACCTCATTTAATTCTTTTTGAGCTCTAGTTTCCTCATTTGTAAAAAGAGGGTGAAAAAACATCTTTCGAAGGGTAAATATACAGATTAATGAGATACATATTTTAAAAATTTGGAAAAATAATGAAAAATCAGTTCTAAGCAGCAAGATTTACAGACTAATTTTTATACAAGGTAAGAAATGTCCTATTAAGTTCAACATACGTTTAAGGACTTTGAAGGCTGTGATAGCCAAACAAAATTTAAATATTAGTATCAAAATTGTTTTGGTGGCAGTAATGGAGTTGAGTTAGGAAAAGTAATTAGAAACTAACAGCGTTGCTTCTTGGTGAGTTTTCTCTTCAAAGAAAAAGTAAGCAACATAAATGAGAAACTTCTCATAAAACAAATACAATGCATTGCAGATATACCTTTTTGCAGATTTTTTCAAAGTTGATATCATCACCAAGAGCAGATTTAGTTACTGTATCAGGTTTCAATTCCTGTGGAAGAATAAAGCAAATTAATTTTAGTTGTCTATTTTTAAATTATCACTGTGAAGTTCCTTCCCATGTCTTAAGAAAATTAATATTAAATAACATCTTAATTTTGAGAAAAGAACTAACTCCCACCATAGGAAGATATTATCATGCTACTAAAATAGCCACAGCAAAATTTTAAGAGCTAATCTTCCTAAGAACAACATACGAGGCAAGTTAAGAAGCAATATTTTCATGGAACTCAATATAAACAACTATAACCTCAGGATTTTATACCCAGTCAAGCAGTTCTTCAAATATCTAATGTATAGAAAAACAGTTTTTAACTGTAAGAATTCAGGAAATATATGTATGTGCCTCTCCTGAGGAATCTTCTAGAAGCCAGCAAGAGATAACTTTAATAAAATAATTGATGTTGAGCACTGTATCTATTTGTAGAGCTATGACTAAAATAAATGTGGGGGAAGAGGAGAAAGGACAGTAGGTAGGTTTTATATGTTTTGATTAAGCAGGAAAAACAAGTAGAAAAAGTAGAGGAGAGGGAGAAAGAATAAGATTTTGATATGTTTTTTTTTCCTTATTTTAAAATGTTTTAAATTTCCCTCAAACCCTCTGTGACTCATGGTTTAATTCAAAATGTGTTGCTTAATTTCCAAACAGTTAGAGGTTTTCCAAGTATTTTTTGCTATTTTTTGTTTATTTAATTCTTTTATGATCCATGAACATACATTTTATGGTTTCTATTTTTTTAAATATTGTAGTATTTGTTATACTCCAGAGTATGGCATATCTTGATAAATATTTCATGTGCCCTTGAAGACAGCATATATTCTGTTGGGATCAGTGGTCTGTAAATGCTAAGTCAAATTGGTTGACAGTATTTAGATTATTCATATTCTTACTGTTTTCTTCTGCCTACATTATTAAGAGATGTGTTAGATCCTCCAACTATGCATAAGGGAAATGATAAGGGAAATAAGGGAAAATAAAGAATAAGGGAAAGAATAAGATAGGTCAGGTAAACAGGAGTTAAAGAATACTGTTCAAAAGGGACAGAGTAGAAAATAAAAGATTACATAAGAAAATGGAAAAGTATAGGCAATATAAGAGATATAAATACAATGGCATCCATGGAAAGAAAATACAGACTTTTCCAAGTACCAAAAGAATTTTTTTGAAAATTGCAAAGACACATTAAGTGGAGAAATAAACAGTAAATACAACATAGAATATTCAGTAATTAGAATATAAAATATGATAGAGTAGAAAGCAAAAATCAGGAATACAATGGAGTGAATTAGTTTAATGTGCCTATTAGAAGAAAAATATTTTCAAACTGAATCACAAAGCAAAACCCAACTCTATACTGTATACAATAAAGACTCACAAAGAAAACAGTTACTTGAAAAGGCTCAAAGATATACCAGGCAAACAAGAAAAAGTAGAAAGCAGGTGCTGAGACTGTGTTTCAGATAAAACGGAGGCAAAGAAAACAAAATTAAGACAAAGAAGATAACATTTATGACTATGTGTTAAATAAAACACAACTATTACATAAAGCAGAAAATACAGGAAATAAAGGGAACGGAAATACTATTTATTAACTTGAGACCCACACACAACTTCCAGTTCAAGAAAGAACAAAATAGGAAAACAAAATTACAAGATCTTAACAACATAAATAAGGTCATCTCTTTTATGAATGTATTTAGAATATTATATCCTTATATACAAATTGTATCTTCTTCTCAACTACACGTGGGAATATTAACAAAATTATCATCTATTAAGTCAAAGAAAGTATAATAAGAATAAGCTTCATTAAGTAAAATATTACAAGCAACACTCTCTGATCACAATGAAAAGATTACAGAAAATCAATAAATCCATAAAGGAAAAACCAAAAAAGGCCCATCTGGAATGAACACAATAAATAAATAAAACCACCTCAATTAAATAAGACTTGGGAAAGGGGAAATATAAACAGACATATCAGAATTTCTAACAATTAATAGGAAAATACTACACATAAAAATGTATGAAAAGCATTAAAAGTGGTTATTAGCCTTAAAACAACTGTATTAGTAAAAACAAAATAATGAAAGTAACTAAATTAAATTGCTCAACTAAAACTAAATTACCTCTGTCAGTTCCTCATTTAACAACTGAAAAGCAAGACTCAAATCATGTGATTTGTCCAAGGTCCTATAACTAGTTGGCAGAAAGACTGACCTTAACTAGTACCTTTATTAGAGCATCATCTTTCTGGCCTACTGCCTCTGTGAAATTCAAAAGATCTCTACAATGTCAAAAGCATTGGTGAAAAACTAAGACAGAATCAATTTATATTTCATGGTATGTGATGATGTCATATGACCACTTTACCAAGAGTATTAGAATCTTCTAGATATGAAAAACACAAGTTTTAAAATGAAGCATGATTTATATGAGCTGAGTGTTATTATAACCCTTTTAGCAGAAATAAAAATATACTTCTGTTTTTACATAAATGTGAGGTACTGAGCAATCTAAGCAGGTAATTTTGGCAACTTCTCTGGTTTTTCAGAAATATTACAGCAAAACTGATGTGAAGGTTCCAAATAAAATATATTTAAAAGATATAAGAAAATGAGGTTGATACGAATTTAATCAGGTTGGGTATATTTAAAATATGTTTGCCACTAAGGCTGTGAATTTGTTGTACTAATTATTAGCAATACCCAATGTCAAAATCTGTGAAGGATTTGAGATTTGCAAGCTAACAAGTTAGCCAAATACAGTATCATGGATGTTGGTAGAAGACACAGACTCCTAGGTCAGAGACAAAGGACAGTTTATTACTCATAGCAATAGCAGAAGCCAGTATCAAAATTTATTTGTTTGTTTGTTTTTGAGATGGAGTTTCATTCTTGTTACTCAGGCTAGAGTGCAATGGCGCGATCTCGGCTCACTGCAACCTCTGCCTCCTGGGTTCAAGCAATTCTCCTGCCTCAGCCTCCTGAGTAGCTGGGACTACAGGCGCGCACCACCATGCCCAGATAATTTTTGTATTTTTAGTATAGACGGGGCTTCACCATGTTGACCAGGATGGCCTCGATCTCTTGATCCACCCGCCTTGGCCTCCCAAAGTGCTGGGAGTATAGGCGTGAGCCACTGCGCCTGGCCCGAGTATCAAAATTTTTTAAAAGTTAATTAACTGTTATTTTTTCCCCCAGAAACCCAAAGCCCCAGAAACATGGTGGATATTAAACTTTAGATAATAAAAAAACCATGTAATAAAAACCAAAGGAGTAGCTTAGGAATGTAATACCTCTAAAATGGGCTAGTAAGTGGAAAACATTTGATTGAGAAAGGGAAAACCATTTGTAGCTCTAGTAGTACGACATGCGAACACAAAGTATGATTGCAATAACCTCTACTTTTAGAACCTAAGCAGCGATTAATTACACATTGTGTGCTAGGCTGAATAGCTTCAGGAAGATGTCCATGTCTTAATCCCCAGAGCCTATAAATGTGTTATTTTACATGACAGAAGGGACTGTGCGGAGATAATTAAGAATTTTGAGATAGGGTTATTATCCTGGATTATCCAGATAACCCAAATGTAATCATGAGCTTCCTTACAAGAGGGTAGCAGAAAGGTCAGAGAGAAGGAAATGTGGAAAAAAAAAAAAAATAGAAGTGGGGGTAATGCGGAAGGTGAAAGGGCAAGAAGAGAAAGAGACAGGGAAGAGAAGACGCTATGCTGCTTGTTTTGAAGATGAAGAAAAATGCCATGAGTTAAGGAATGCAGGTGGCCTTTAGAAGCTGAAAACGCAGGAAAAATTCTCCCCTAGAGCCTACAGAGAATATAGCCCTGCTGAAGCCTACAGAAATAATACAGTCCTGTTGCTGTTAAGATTTCTAACCTTCAGCACTGTACGACAATACATTTGTGTTGTTTTAAGCCACGAACTTTGTTATAATTTGTTACGGCAGCACTAGAAAATTAATCTATTTTCTATCTCCTACCAATCTTCGTATTATAAAATAATTCATTATACCATATTATTAGGACAAACACTACATGCCATAAATAATTCCAAGAATTAAATATTTACCTTAAAACTAAGTAAAATATAGACACATTTGGATGGCTTAAACTTTTTGTCTCATACCATTTATACTTCAGTATTTTGGACCAACTTGTTTCCTTAATTTTAAATACAATCCTATGTGTCATTAAAAGGGAATACTATGTCCTAAAACATGGTTCATATAAAAATGTAAAAACTGTGTTTAGCAAATAGGGATGGATAGAAAAAACAAGCAATGGGGAAAGGATTCCCTGTTTAATAAATGGTGTTGGGAAAACTGGCTAGCCATGTACAGAAAGCAGAAACTGTACCCCTTCCTGACACCACACGCTAAAATTAACTTCAGATGGATTAAAGATCTAAACATAAGACCTAACACCATAAAAACCCTAGAAGTAAACCTAGGCAAAACCATTCAGGACATAGGCATAGGCAAGGACTTCATGACTAAAACACCAAAAGCAATGGTAACAAAAGCCAAAATGGACAAATGGGATCTAATTAAACTTTACAGCTTCTGTACAGTAAAAGAAACAATCATTAGAGTGAACTGGCAACCAACCGAATGGGAAAAAATTTTTGCAATTTGCCCATCTGACAAAGGGCTAATATACAGAATCTACAAAGAACTAAAACAGATTTGCAAGAAAAAAAACAATCGAACCCATTCAAAAGTGAGCAAAGGATATGAACAGACACTTTTCAAAAGTAGACATATATGTCTACTTCATATATGAAGGCAACAAACATGAAGAAATGCTCATCATCACTGGTCATCAGATAAATGCAAATCAAAATCACATTGAGATACCATCTCACGCCAGTTAGAATGGTGATCGTTAAAAAATCTGGAGACAAGAGATGCTGGAGAGGATGGGGAGAAATGGGAACACTTTTACACTGTTGGTGGGAGCATAAAGTAGTTCA